GAATATAAAAAATATGAAATATATTATGTTTCTTGGAGACTGTTATATGAGCGTTATATGGTGGCGTTTGCTTTCTTATTAAAATACAAACCGCAACCAATTTATTGACAAATATTAACGATAAGATAAGCTTGTTTGAAAAATAATGTTTTAGTAATAAAAAAAACAAATATGAATCGACATTTAGGGCTTCAATTAAAATTAAATAGTTTATATTGATTATCAACTAACTACTAGGCTAGTGTTAATTTAAAGTTGGTTTTATTCAAAACTGTTATTTTAATTCAATTTTATTGGTTATTTTATATTTTATCTAAATATGACGATTATATATCCCGTGTATTAATACAAAGGAATCTATGCATTTTTGCAAACACTGCTATATAATGTAATATTGAATAACTATGGTAGTTGCAGCCTATATTTAACTTTTCAATAAAACAATAGTTGGCGCACATATGCTATTAATCTTAATCTGCTCAAAGTCGGGTATGGTAAATTTAGTTCTAAATTAATTATCTTGCAGTTCAATAAACAATTTCACTTAATGATTAATTAAATAGTTTCGAATTTGAAGATAAAACTGTAATAAGTACAAATACTAAAATAAAACACTCGAATTAATTAAATTATTCAATTTTTACCTATGTTCAAGTATTTTGTCAATGATTATAATTAGCGTCGGCGTTCTTAGTTGTTTATAAGTTTGTTTGCATTACATCGTTATTATTGAGTAATATAGGCGCTATTGTATCCACTTCGATACTTTAGAATAATCTTTACACTTACGACCCAACTATGGCGAAATCGATTCAAACGTGGGCTAGTCCAAACCAGCCACGGCCAAGTCCGACATCAGGCAGCTTTGATGTCAAATTATCACTTGAGGTTATAGATCTCAAATATGATATCTATGAAAATAGCCTCTCGTGCACATAATCATAAAAATGTCAACAAAGCAAACAAACTGGAATGGACAACTGTATTGCCATCTATTTATATAATAAGGTCAAAACAATTACTGAATGTCAGTATGACGGATTGTATTTAAAAACAAAAGATTTTAATAGCAAAAAATAACAAACATATTTTTTAATATAAGAGCCTACCTAATTGAAGTAATTTTAAATATTTCATTCTTATGTAGTATGGTATTATGCAGTTATTACTTAAGTTATTTAGAATAAGCTGCCGTGATTCAACTAAATCTAAAATATTTATTTAATTAAATTTATGTAACAGAAATGTTTTATTACTTTTTATACAGCTATTAATAGTTTTGGGTCCTATTTTACTTTAAACCTACTTCATTTAATTTTAATCAAAATATTCTATCAACTGTATTTTAATTTTAGCCGTGAATATGATTTTCAGTTGATTCGCACTCAGGTGGGGTATTACGGCTTCTTAATTGAGGAAAACTAATCTATCTGAATGGTATTTCTGTTAACAATTAGCGCCATTGATAATCAAATTGCAATTATTTTTACCCGCGAGTCGAGAGCGCTCGGCATCCGATGCGCGAGGCAAATGTCGCGCTTGCAAAATTCTTTGGCAGAGCAGCGGGTCGGGGCCAACAGAAATAACATGAATCTAGGACACACTTCATTCTCATTGCTAATGTGTTCATGTACAAATCTCAAATTTCCAATTTTGAAATATTTCACAGCATACATATCGAATTTCAATAGATGTAGCCCGAAAAAGTGTTTTATTGCCTTTTCCACATGGCGTTTTATTGATGTAACTTCATAAAAAACTTATGTTTTTTGATAGAAGTAGAATAGCAAAAAAATATTAATAAATCGTGCGTAAAAAATATTCTCGTAGACTGTTATGTGTATTGATGGTTTCTCAAGAAATTTTGCCCGTCTTCTTGTCCATTTTAGACCTAAAAGAACATTTGTCATAATAGATTTACTAATATATTAAACCCATTTTTTGTATTTCTCTTAGAATAGTCTCATAAAATTTAAAACCTCTAATACAGAACATGATGGAGCAAAAGTATTAAATTGGAAATGAAAAAAAATTACAATAATGCCTGTGATAATTGTTTAGGTAATTATTTTCATACAACAACGTAAACTATAATTAAAATAAATAAAATATATATTGTCTCCAGTAATATATTTTTTATAATAAATCAACGTAAACTACAATTAATATCATAGCACAAACAAAAGTTATAGTGCCTCCTGTAACACAATTTACACGTGTCTACATCTTACAAACTATACCTATTATACATTCCATTCAATCTTCTTTACTTGAAGCTGTATATAATTTGTGTGTGTTGCAACTAGCCCTAAAAATTTGTTTCGACAAACCACAAGTGTGATGTTTTATATTAATCGAGATAATTATTTATACAATTTATCAATCACAAAAATTGTAACACATTATCAAAGATTGATAAATTTGAAACAAATTGAGATATATAAAATTTAAAGTTAGATATTAATAATAACGCAAACCGAAATTTTATAAAAAAATTTACGTTACATGTCAAAATGACGGACCTGCACAGTTCTGTTTATTGCGTATGCCTGCGGGCAGTAGCTTTAAAAATATTATGCATGGCAATGCAGGGAAAAAATCATATCGTTTATGACTTTAGTGGCAAACGTCTTATGCTAGTTACCGCTGTCATAAATAGCCCCTAACTCCCTTTTGCATGTATATAAGTTATTTATTCTAAAAATAAATAATAACTAGCTGTAAGTGGAATTCTGTCTTAAGGCAATTAGGGCATCGTGCCTTAAGGCAAATTGCTGGAACTTCCCGTACCAAATATTATTATTTTTTTAAAAACGATTAACATTTTTGAAAAAATTTTACTTCGAAAAAATTAGATTTTTGAGAAACTAGGAATTTGACAAAAAATTACTTTTTTTGAAAAAAAATTTTTTTTTGAAAAAAAAAATGTTTTCTTTATTTTGACATATTTTGGAAATTCTGAACTTTTTTCAAAGCAATCGTACTGCTTTAACTGCATAGAGACAAAATGTCAAAGCGCGTAAGCGCCGCGTCGCCGTCTAACGAATAAACATTGGTACGGAACCCATAGGAATGCAAACAAAATTTATACTTATTGTTAAAATCTCTATAAAATATCTGATAATTTGATGTGCATATGTCTAATGATCATTTTTGACCGCCAAATGGCATTTTTTTTACTTTTTATTAGATCTCCGAAACCGCTAGACCTGCCTTTATGAAAATTTGATCAGTTCTTTATCTTGTCAATTCAAGTACATAAAATGCTTTTTGAATTATTAAAATCGGACGCTCCGTTCTCTTAAAAACTGAGTTACAGTTCAAGATATATAAAAATTTTCATTTTCGATTTTTTTGCGATTACTATAACTTGCCCTACGGGAAGTTAAATAGATACAGAAACAATTTAAGTAACAAACAATATAAGTAATTTTATATTTTTCACAAGCTCTACTTATTGTAAAGTTCACTCAGAAGCGCCGTAATATATTTTATTTTTAAGTAAAAATATTATGCATGAGAAACTGAGATAGAAATAAATGCAATAAATTTTAAATTAATAATAGTAATAAGTAGAAAATATTTTTAAACATAATATTATGGTAATAAAAAGACTAAGTATATGGTAAATTATACTTATTCACGCCGAAATCAAATACATACATTTTTTCATAAGCTATGAGGATTAAAAGTGATTTAAAATAAGTTTATGGCGAATTTTATGCGCATTTATAATAATTTTAAGCTCATCTATTCAATATATATACACTTGTATGACAAACATATTATAATTTAATATTTATTAATCATCAGATTACCTACCTACAATTAGAAGTTAGTAAAATTATTAAAATATAAGAGTAAAAAATCAATATCAAAAACTAAATTAAAAAATTTGTTAAATAGTATATAATTATTTGTTAATAGTTTTGCCTACAACGATTTTGATATTGATTTTTTACGCTTTTTATTCTTATTAATCTTAAATTTTACTACTTCTAATTGATTCGATCCGAAGATCCCTGTCGCGTGAATTGGACACGCAACTGAGTGAGCTATGCCCGCCACAGGAATGAAATTATTGCTATTGAAAACAAATTATTTTTATTTACAGGTAAACATGGTTGAGATTCCTGGAATTTTGGAAGTTCGGAAGCAGGTATCGAGACTATTTCCATTCAACGATGCTTGTCAGTGGTTCATCGACCGAGCAGATATAATATTCCTGGTATACGATCCATCCAAATTGGACGTCGGACCAGAAACAGAAGCTATTTTGGATCAGCTAAAAGGACGAGAATATCAAGTAAATAATAATTTGCCATTCACATTGAAGTTTATTAAATTTATTCACATGAAATTTCTAAATTTATATTTATAAAAGCTCGCTCTAACTACTATTACCGGAATAAATTTATATACATATATTATAAAAACATAACAAAATTTCAAACATTAAAGTCTATAGTAGTTAATTAACCAATACAAAAAGCAAAATAAGTAGACTTATTAGTAGATATATAAAGTTTAATGAAAACGAAATACCATTAAGATCATATTAAATATAATTATATATCAATATTTAATTTTATATTTTTCTACGTTTCGAATAAATTATTACTACGTCGATTTGTTTTTTGTGAAAAATGTGTGTGTATGTAGTATGAATGTGTGTATGTTTGGATACAATTTTTCGTCCACGATTTCGAGTTCCTAAATATTTTCACAACATGACTACATTTATAAGCTAGACATATCCAACATCGAATCGGATCACCAATCGGTGACCTCTCGACCTTTTTCTTTTATTTAATATACCATCAAAATTACTGAATGTTGTATAAGAACGACAGATTGTAATTCGCAAATGTAAATAAAAAAAGCTAATGGGACGCACGGCATCGTGCCTTAAGGCAAATTGCTGAAACTTCCCGTACCATTTTTTTTTTTTTTTTTAAAAGATTAACATTTTTGAAAAAAAATTACTCTGAAAAATTAGATTTTTGAGAAACTATAAATTTTTGAGAAAAATTTACTTTTATTTGAAAAAAAAGACTTTCTGAAAAAAAGTGTATTTTGAAATATTTTGGAAATTCTGAATTTTTTTCAAAGCAATCGTACTGCTTTAACTGCATAGAGACGAAATATCGAAGCGCGTAAGCACCGCACCGCCGTCTAACGGATAAGCATTGGTACAGAACCCATAGGAATGTAAACAAAATTTATACTTATTGTTAAAATCTCTATAAAATATCTGATAATTTGATGTGCATATGTCTACTGATCATTTTTGACCGCCAGATGGCATTTTTTTACTTTTTTTACTAGATCTCCGAAACCGCTAGACCTGCCTTCATGAAAATTTGATCAGTTCTTCATCTTGTTAATACAAGTAAAATGTTTTTGAATTATTCAAATCGGACGCTCCGTTTTCTTAAAAACTGAGTTACCGTTTTTGGCACTTTTTGCCCCATATCTTCGGTACGACTAGACCTGCCTTCGCCAAAAACTAATCAGCACGTCTCCTTATCAGTACGAATCGAATACGAATTTGAATTATTCAAATCGCTTCATCCGAGTTCCCGAAATCGTCGTCGCAAATTTGTATCCGAACACACATACACATATATCTATTTTTTCTAAGGTATGCCAAAATATTCAGAAACCTCTGAAACGTAAAGATATATAAAAATTTTCATTTTCGATTTTTTGCGATTACTATAACTTATCCTACGGGAAGTTCAAAAAAAAAAGAGTTCCAAAATTATTTGATTGCTATCAATGTTGATTAATTTTTGGCAAAGGCATCTGTAGCCATTTTGAAGATACGGGGCAAAAAGTAACAAGAATGGCAATTTTGAGAGAACGGATTGTTCGATTTAAATGATTTAAAAATCATTTGTTTTCATATAATGAAGAATTGTTTTAATTTGAAATTTTAGTACGGAAAGTCTCAGCAACTTGCCTTAAGGCACGATGTCATGCATCACTAGTTAGATTTTAATATTTCAAGAAAGATGTTTGTGTCGCCGGACCAAAATGTCAAACCAGTGTTCTACTTCTGCATGTAGTGTTTTTGATTCATTCGTCGTATTTGATTTAAATTTTGCGGAAAAGTATGTTGGTTTTTTTGCTCAGGACAATGCCTCAGTTCATCGGTCAAATCTTATCATGGATTATTTCATTATTTTTGGCATTTTAATAATCAAACTCGCTGATTACTCGCATTTGCCTGATAAGGCTTCCTCTCTTTTTATGACATGGAAGCAATGCAGAAGAATTCTACAAATACTTATTCTAAATCACAGCCTGATTAATGACCCCAAACATTTTTTTAATAATTTTGAATTGGGCAATAAGTTGTGTCAAGTTCGGAAAGGGCCATTTCAAATTTTTCAATGGCACATCTGCTCCGTTTCAATCATTTTAGAGCGTACCTAATATATATTAGTGACTCGTGATACTATTGAGTTATCACATTTGATTCAAATTATACTATAATATTGATTCGTGGTAATTGTTAAACCAATTAATCAAATTTTAACTAATATTAGATTAATTTTGTTCTCTGATTTACACATTGACATTTTTAGTATACTAAGATTTAAGTTCACATTTCTAGTATATTCCATTTAAGTCCGACGAATTTTATTATAATAATATAAATCTTATTGTTTGTTTTAACTAACAATTTCAACACTATATCATATTACCTATATATTGGTTATCACAGTAATAAATATAAACATTACTAAATATTTTTGTTATTAATCATACGCGCATATAATTGTGTAATTTTGTAAATATAAAAGGCACGTGTCATGTAAGATAGCATACATATTTTTAATATAATTTCTAGATTTTGATACACGAGATAAAAAACATTCATGTTGATCTTATCAACGAGAGTCAATTAATAGATAGTTTGTCAAATTTAAGTTTTATAAACATAATCAATGTGGTATGCAATTATTATTCTTATATTTATTATTATTAAAGCAATTGTCTAATATATTTGTTAATTTAGTGTATAGTCGTACATATTGCTGTTTGAAATATGTTAAGATATAATTTGTTAAATATAAATTAAATGAATAATAAATATATTTTATAATATTTATATAAATAAATATATAAATGATAAAATTATTATTTTCACGTGTATCGTTTGGCTACTTTAATATTTCTTTATGAAACTGTTTTTCTTTCGCTTTCGAGCATACTGTCCAAAAAATTATAATAGAATAGAATAGCTGAAAATGTTTAAATTCAACCATTACAAAGTGAATGAGAAAAATTACTATTTCAGACTCGCATCATCTTGAATAAAGCTGACCAAGTTAAGCCGGAGGAGTTGATGCGCGTTCAGGGCGCCCTTATCTGGAATATCTCCCCGCTGATGTCGTCAGCCCAGCCGCCGGTCATGTACACTGCTTCACTCTGGTCTATACCATATGAGTCTGGTGCGCCAGTCAGACTTCTGCAGGCCCAGGAGAGAGAGCTGCTAAAAGACTTAAGAGGAGCCATCGATAAGAGAATCGATAATAAAATTGCCAGCGCTAGACGATTTGCGGTATCAAATAAAATATTTTAGTTTCTTGTAGCTTCACATGACATAGGGTAGGGCGGGGCTAGTTGAGCAAATTTTTACTTAAACGGATGTAGCTCCTCAATGAAAAGTCTCAATAAATTGCTATACGGCTTAATGGATTTGTTGTTCATCGCTTAACAAAAGTGTTAATACTAGTTTTTGGTAATAAGTAAACTTTAAAAGCTACAGCTGTTTAAATGCAAAAAGTCAAGTATGCTCAATGTACCCCATAGATGGGGCAAGTTGAGCACTAAAAAAGTATAATAAAATTATTGTTCAATGTCGATTAGTGATGAAATAAAATAAGTTTTTAATAACCAGTTCTATATTTATAGTCTTTATTGACAGAGAAAACAAAACTTATAGTAATTTGCTTTGAATAATTAACGATTAATTAACTTAGGAATTATTTTACTATTATATTCAGTATTTTGGTTTAAAATCATTATTTCTTTATATCATTACTCATAGACTTAGCTTAAATCTTAAAAATAATAATTAATTTCTGAAAGTTAATGGTAATTGTCTTAGTGACAGAACAAGTTTAGCAACTATGCTCAACTAACCCCAACTCGGAATTTCAAAATAATAGTGAGTTTTTGAAAAAAACCGTGAGAATTATACCCAGAATCTCTGTGCATATTAAAAGTACTATAATTATATGGAAGAATAAGATTTACCTGGTTAAAAATAAATAACATTTGACTAAACCAGACGGAAATTCGTGATGAATGACTTTTTTACTTTTTGGTCTCAAAATAAACAAAACGCCTGTGAGGCTAACTCATTTGTCCAGCGGCTACTAGCGATCGCGGGATGTCTATTTCTCCCAAACCTCTGTCTTTCCGCCATATAATGCCTAAACGGATGGTGAATAGTTTTCGAGATATTTCGATTGCTCAACTTGCCCCTATGCTCAACTAGCCCCGCCCTACCCTACCTTATTAAGTGATTTATAAATAACTTTTCATAATTTTGTTCAATCATAAAATATTCTTAATCTTCAAAAGTATGTAAAGTAATATTAATCACATTTTAGGTTCGCGTACGCAATCACGCCAAGATGGTTGACTGTTACTTGACGACTTATTATAACCATAAGACATTGTTCAGCAATAAGAAGTTGATATCAAATGCCATCATCGAGCACCCACAAGATTACCACATTTACGAGGGATTGAGCACGCTGACTAATATCTCACGTTATGATCTTCCCGATCCTGATGTCTACCGTGACTTCTTCCGGCTGAACCCTCTCTACGACTTTCAGCAGTTGTCGGCCACTTGTACGTATTTCCGTGGTTGTCCCATCAACAAGTTAGATGTGGCCATTGCCTACGATTTGCCTGAACTGGTTGGAAAATACAAGAAGATGATTGAAAAAGAGGAAAAAGTCAAAGCGCATGATAAAAGCTGAAAAAATCCACAATAGAAAACAAGAGAATGGGGAAATGACGCGTTCATTTTTCAAATCATGTATGTTCACATTTCACATTGTTATATTCATATATGCCGGTGAGATTAGATTTCAACTTGCGGGAATTGCGAGGTACCTAGTCTTGATTTTGTGTTAAAATTTGAAAATATTTTTTTCCTCTAAGTTTCAAAAGAACAGCGTTTACATTTTACAATATCGTAATGACGAATCTTTCAATTTTCCATGCTGATTTTATTGCGATGAATGTTGATACGAACGCGTTTACCGGCTCATTCTCTGCCTACTTATTGTTAGTCGTGCGCAAACTTACGATAAAATTCAGCGCTTGCACGGGTCTACACGTCTCATTGTCAGAGGGAACATCGGTTATAAATTTTTTTAACAAGTTTGATGGAAAATCAAAAATATTTTCCAAGATTTGTTCCATGCGATACATTTATCTATTCACAAAATATGTGTTCATAATAATTTAAATCTCAGAAAATTTCAATAATTTTGATTTTATTATTTGTATTTTTATTATTAATTATTTTTTAGATAAAGGTGTTTAGCAGCACGGAATAATTTTTATAGTAAACTACTGATTTACGATAATATATTTTTGAATATATATTTATTCCAAAATAAAAGATAAACTTTCGAGTATATTAAACCTCTTAATTCAATCATCAGACGTAAAATTAAATTAGGATATGGTTGCCAACATCATTATTTCATAAATAAACCTGATTTTTTTTAAATTTAAACCAATTATGTAAAATTATTTTGTCTTGTATTGTTTATATATATATATATATATATATATATATATATATATATCAACTAAAATTATGATGCATAATTTGAAGACATTTAATTACATATTTTTCTATATGTTTTCAAGTGATAGTACGACTCTTGACTGACTTTTGCTTTTTCTTAATATCTAAAAATTGTATATTTTTTTGGTTTACTTTACTGTAGTGCATTTAAAGCTTGACTTTTATTTCAAATTTTTGCTTAAAATTTCGAAACAAATTTTGCATTATTTATTGTACTTGAAAAAAACAACGTAACGAGCTTATTTAGTTAATTATTGCTTTTGAGTGATTTAGTTATGTTATAGCATTTTTAAACATATATTTTTATGTAAAAATACTATAAACAATCACACAACTTAAAATATTGACTAGTTTAATTTTATGACATGAATTAAAAACGGTTGTGCTTGAAATATGTAGTTGTCTTATTTCATACTTAGGTTAAACTGTGTTATGCGTTTCAACTAATTAATTTCATTTCATATTGACATTTTTCATTTATTATTTAGCGTATTTATTCATTGTAAATATTATTTAATTTATTTAATTGTATTTTCTTCTTGTATATAATTTATGGAAATAAATTGTTGTATTAAGGATTAATGATTATAAAGTAGGTAGATGCATGATTCACATTTACAATTTTACGCCGTTTCTTATACTTCGAACATGAAAAGACTTAAGTCGACATTATTCATAAAAAATAAGTTTATTAATATTAAATTTGATAATATTTAACAATTAACTAAAGATTGAACAATTCAACTATTTATTTATGAAATTATTTCAAGTTATATCATTTTCATCGGATACACAAAGGAAAGTTTTGTCACAGTAGCCGAATCACTTTAGTTATCCTTACTTGTTCAATGATAATTTGTATTTTTCACCTGTTCAATGATGAATGTGAACATTGAATGTAATGATAGTTCTGTAATTTATTTGTAAAATATGTTGGGGACATATTTCACCGACAAATAAAAATTAAAAAACGAACAAATGTTTTAATTGACACTAACTTACGAGGTCATACATATTTTACTTACGATACACATTGAGGTGAATAACCAAGCATTAAAATATGCTTGCATTATAAACTAGATATATTAAAAACATTCAAAATAATCACTTTTAGTATTTTATCTATATAATTGTTTTTTTGCATGGTACCAAAAAATAGAGATGCTGCTCAAAAGGAAAAATATTATAAATCTCAAATATGATCTCAAGCGCAAATAGCCTTTCAGGCGCATTGCTAATACATACACACATTATATATATATATATATATATATATATATATATATATGCAATTGCCAGTGGCAATTTGCCACACACATAGGATAATGATTAACCGATGGGTTGCCTTCGCATCAAATAGTGCATTCGGTTATCAAACAAACAGTAGCTTACAGAACGAGTAGGTCTGATTACTTTATACTGTTGAACACATAAATATGAAAAACATTATATGAAGATTGATATCGAATAATTATTAACATTTGGCTTATTTCGGTTCAATACTACTTTTAAGTAATAGTATTTAATGTATTTTCTTGTATATACATTTATATGATTTATATGATATTTTTCTTCTGTGTATGTTAAATAGTCGATTTTTTCAAATTATAAAACTAAACCAAACCCGACAATAAAGTAAAAATATATATTTTCCAATGAACCAATATCTACTTTCCATACGTAACGATTTTTTTTAAATCTAGCATAAATGAATAATCTTTAAAATACTCCATTCGGCGTTACAGTGGCGCGCGATTTATTATTATTTTACGAATATAATCATAAAAATAAATTTTATAAAATACACAACATCTTTTACTTAAATATAATTACTGGGTTTCAATCAGTTCAATAAAAATTTCTACATATTAATACAATATTATATTAATATGTACAACTTTTTATATAAATGATGTTAATCAAACTGATATAAATCGATTAATCGACTAATTCATCTATAATATTCATTATTTTATAACTAAAAATTAATGACATTTCATTAAATCTATTTTTTTTATTTCTGCTAATTTTAATAATCAGATTACAATACAATCTATAAGTTAAAAGTTATGGTATTGAAAATCAAAATCAAGAAGAAAAAAGAAATAGAATAAAAGAATTTAAAGAAAAGAAATAGAATAAATGAATGAATAAATAATTAAAATAATAGTATTAATAATAAAAACGATAATTAAATCTGTAAATACATATTTATGTTTTCTTATATTAGTGACAAAAGTGAAAATAATTTTGTCTATGAAAAATGATTATTTAAAAAATGTTTTACAAACAAATTATTAACAAAATCAATCAATTAATTGTTTGAATAGTTTAAATTAAAATGAACACAATTTGTGAAAGAAAATAAATTAAATAATACAATATACATATTATTTTGTAGATTACTAAATATTGTTTAAGCTGTTTTCAACCCTTTCATTGATATTTGCATTATTAATTTCTTGTAAGGTAAATTATCGTAATCGCATGAAAACTAAAAAACATTTTATTCTTATTGATAGAGAGACGTACTCGACGTGCTGATTATTAGTTTTTTGCAGAGGCAAGTTTAGACATTTCGAAGATACAGGGCAAAACGTGCTAAAAATGGCTATCCAGTTTTTGAGAGAACGGAGTGTTTTACGTGTATTGGCGGAATAAAGATTTAATTACATTTTTAGGAAGGCATGTCCAGCGACTTCGAAGATCCAGAAAAAAATATTTAACTAGTTGGTATTGGTATTTTGCTTTGAGGCAAATTACATGAACTTCCCTATATGTGTAAATAATCGACTTAATCAATAAAAACTAAATTAATTTACGAGCGCTTAAAAGTATTCCGTGTGGATTTTTTACACATATTTGAAAACGAACGAACACGTTAACTCGGAATATTTTCTAAAAGCAAATTTTCACAAATCAACAATTTTTGTAATTGAACCAGTTTCCGTAGGACATTAAGACCAAGTACTCTGTCGTTATACCAAGTGAATCGTCTAACTTTAATTTAAACAAACGTCAAAAAAACTACTCATTTTCTCAAACATTGTTGAATTTTTAAAATTAAACTAGTTGTTGCAGGGCCGTAATATTTTAGTATGATCTATAAGACTATGGTATCAAGCGTCAAAAAAAATCATAAAAATCGTCGAATTTTTTTTTTAACATTTTATTATAAGAAAAGGACCCGGCCGATTGCGGCAAATTGATAGACTCTAGTCTTCATCGAGATACATCGAATGGCTTTTAAATTTTTGAAATCGATCCAGCCATTTTTGAGAAAATGTCGATTTACGGCAAAAAGTATGTTCACACACACACATACTTTTTCCAAATTTGGTCTCATTCGATTCAGAATGGCTTGAAACATTGAGAAAACATAAAATTAGCGAATTTTTTTGATGCGGGTTTTTTGATGAAAACAAACTTCTTCGGGAAGATAAAATAATGCCATTTGGCGGTCAAAAATTATCATTAAGAGATATGCACATCAAATATAAAGAAAATTTTATAGAGAATTTAATAATAGGTACATATTTTGTTTCCGGTCCGTACCGGAAGCCGGGTCTAGTGCTCAAAAAATTCTGATGTTTTCAAAATTTTAAGTTACGGTACGAAAAGCTCCAGCAATTTGCACGATGCAATGCACCACTAGTTTGTTATATATTACAATCTTATTATGTATTACAAATAAGCCAAATATTTTTACTTTGGTGTTTTTAATTTTGTTAATGATTTTAATTTAAATGGTCTTTCGTTAGTGGAAGTGGTTTAACGTTAGTGTGTCGTCAGTGTCACGTTGTGGCGTGAAAGTAGTTTGGCATGACTTCGACTTGACACATTGCGATGACAACGAGTTGTTTTGGTGACTACGTCTCTACAAGAGTTTACCTTTATTATTATTCAAAGTCTTGCAATTGAATATTCACCGAATACGAGATACGGATTAACATTTGATAATACGTGTCTATACAATATCAAATTGATTTAAATGTGTGTTGAATATTTACATGCTTCGGCAACATAAGTTCTGATATTTCAAATTGAATTTTTGCATTTTAGCTAAATCATGGCAGGTACACTAAACATTCCACAAATCTCGAGTAACTTTCATTGTCAGTGCCACGTATGACAATGTCGACATTTGAAATAATCGATTAATTTACGAAAGTGTCGTACGCCAATGACAATATATTACTACATGAATTAATCTTTGACCTTCGCGATTTAAATTATATCAAGTGCTTGACATTGTAGTGGCCTGATTTGTGATTATTCCGCTATACTATCTTGCATTATATGGGTGTACTTAACTAATCTCATTTTACAATGGCAGGCACCAATCCTTTTAACCACTTACTTAAGACTGTTACTGTTCAAGGAAAGGAATATAGTTATTATGATATTCCGGCTTTGGGTCCTCAGTATGGTAATTATTGAATTATCAAGTGATAAATTTAATGAGCCGTTAGTCAACTTGTGAATTCAACATTTTAGAAAAGCTTCCTTTCTCAATCAGAGTTTTATTGGAATCAGCTGTTCGTAACTGTGATGGTTTTCAAGTGCACCCGCAAGATGTTCAAAATATTTTAGGATGGGTAGAAAATCAGCAAAAAGGAGATGTCGAAGTGCAATTCAAACCGGCACGTGTAATTTTACAGGTATGGTATTTAATACTTTCTTCACTAAGATTATGCCGATTAATTGGTTATTATTATTTGAGTTATAGATTTTATATATTATTCTCCACTCATATAAAAATTAAATGCAGAATTGAATCGAATTAAATTTTATTGTCAAATTATATTTGACTAATTATATTTAAATAATTGATTATAATTATGTAATTTTTGTGAATTGGAAAGTAACACCAAAATTTGAATACTGAGCTTTAATGTTGACAGTTTAACATATTGTTATTAATTGTAGATTGCATTTTTATTAAACTGTATTTTGAATTTATACTCAACAAATGTTATTTATGGATTGAAACAAGCAAACAGAAAGATATTTTTTTAAATGTCTGTATGTCTTGTTAAAATTAATTAAAAACCATTTTTAATTTTGTTTCAAAATTTCACTAGGATTCATTATTTCAATAGTTATGCAAATAATTTTACAGGATTTTACTGGGGTGCCAGCAGTGGTTGATTTTGCAGCAATGAGAGATGCTGTTAAAAGTTTAGGTGGTGATCCTAACAAAATTAATCCTATATGCCCATCAGATTTGGTTATTGATCATTCAGTACAAGTAGATTTTACTCGAAGGTAAAAAAGATTGTAAATATATATCCAGGTTTATGAATATTACATATTTATTTTCATTTATAGTCCCGATGCTCTACAAAAAAATCAGGAGTTAGAATTTGAAAGAAATAAAGAGCGATTCACATTCCTTAAGGTACAGCTTTTATAAATATATCTAATAGGAACCATAACCCAAATTAAATAACTTGTATTCAAATTTTACTACTGATTTTAGTGGGGAGCTAAAGCTTTTGACAATATGTTGATTGTACCACCAGGATCTGGTATTGTTCATCAGGTTAACTTGGAATATTTAGCAAGAGTAGTTTTCACTGAAGGACCTAACAAGGTAACTGAATGCATATATTTCTTAATTGTTTTCAGTAGTTTTTTTATTTGAAGATCACTGAAGCCTTATGTGAAACTCTTTTTGGAAAAAAGATGGTTTATCAATACCAATTTAATTTATTATTTTCCTTCGTTTTTACTTGAAGATATTGATGCCTTAATTTATTTTTAGCATTAGTACAGTTTGCAAATAAAAATTCTATCTTGTTTTCTTAATAAATTCTTAGGATGATTTACAAAAGTACCTACAAACTCTATTCTTTTACGATTTTATTATTTACTTCAGCAAATTAAGTAAATGAGTAAATATAAAGATCAGTTTTATGTGGTAACCATTTATTGTAATGTTATTTATGGTTTTGAATACTTCTAGAGTTTGGTAATGTATCCTGACAGCGTTGTTGGAACTGATTCTCACACTACTATGATAAATGGGTTAGGTGTTTTAGGTTGGGGTGTTGGAGGTATGTATGTGGTAATTTGTATCTAAATTCTTTTGAATATCTATTGCTTTACTTAAGGGGGTATTCTGGTCTAGAATTTAAAAAAAAATCATTTGGTTTTTTCTTTGATATTCTCAAGAAAATGCATACAAGAGGATTTTTCAAAATTTAAATTATTTTTGAAGATATAGCTCTTTGACCACAATGATTCTTCTCTGTTGGTTCCCTCCCTCCTCTGTAAAATATTTCAAAACTTCTACATTTTTTTTTTCTTTAAATAATCTGTATTTGATGGTTTGAAATCAGATTGTTCTGTTCAGATGCCAATTTTTGAGACTCCCACCTTCATCATTTTTTAGAATTAAAACTTTGACTATTTTTAATTTATTTTTTCAATTCTCAAAACATTAATTAATAACTTGCAAAAAATATCATAACCTTTTTCACAAGCCTTCAACAATTGCATAACATTTATGCTTTTAGACCAGTATACCCCTTTAAGTGATTTGCTAAAATAAAACTGATTAGTTAAAATTTGCGTTATCGGAAAGTAAAACAATTTATTTATCACAGTGTTTACAATATAAGAAACATTGCATTTGGAAAGTTGACTGATTTTGACTACAAACAAAATAAAACTGTAGATCATAAGCAAATGCTGTAGATAAATACATTGAATGCCAATTAATATTTGTTTTTTCAATTACAAGGTATTGAAGCTGAGGCTGTTATGTTGGGCCAAGCAATTTCCATGTTGTTACCTCAAGTTATTGGGTACAAACTCGTTGGAACTTTGAATAAATTAGTCACATCTACAGATTTGGTGCTAACCATTACTAAGGTATGTTATGTGACTTTATTTTGGCATATTTTTATATTAAGTAAGATAACTTGCATCATACATAAAATATATGCAACTATTGAACAGTTTTATATAGAATACATATGTACATTTTTTTTAATTAAAAAAACTTGTATGCAAAATTATTTTTATTAATAAACAATAATTGGTTGCGTTATGCTTTTGAAATAAATGTTATGTACTGAAATATTTATTTTTAGATAATAAAGTAAAGTTATTTTACAGCATTTACGGCAATTAGGAGTGGTAGGCAAGTTTGTTGAGTTTTATGGACCAGGTGTATCTGCATTGAGTATTGCAGATAGAGCTACAATTAGTAATATGTGCCCAGAATACGGAGCCACTGTTGGATACTTCCCTGTTGATGAAAATTCTTTGGTTTATCTTAAACAAACAAGTGAGAATTTATCATACACTAATTTTAATGAATAGAAATACTGTTTATATTATATAGGCAACTTATATTTTGATAATATTTTAACAATACATTACATTTTTTCAATATAAATTGTACTATGTTTATTCTTAATGAACATGATATGCTTACATTTGCTATTTATTAAATGGCATTTAATATTTGGCATTAGCATCCAAATATTAGCATTTTGGAACCAATGAAACATGTACAAATTATCATATATATATATATATATATATATATATATATATATATATATATATATATATATATAATAATTTGCTGTAATGAAATCTAGATCGTTCGGATGACAAAATCAATTTAATAAAGCTGTATCTGGAATCCACTCGGCAGTTGAGGAATTACAGCGATCCAAATCAAGATCCTATTTTCACACAATCTGTGACATTGGATTTGTCAACTGTTGTTACTTCAGTTTCTGGACCAAAGAGACCCCACGATAGAGTACCTGTGTCGGAAATGAAACAAGATTTTGAACAATGTCTTTCAAACAAGGTAAAATATATTTTTATAAAAAATTTAAATATTCAACAAGTTATTAAATGTTAATTCAATTCAAAAAAAAATTTAATTTGTTAAATAAGGTCAATTAGGGTTTGATTTTTTAGTGGAAGTAACTAATTATTGATTAAATATTTTCATGAAAGTAATACCAAATTATAAAAAACTATTTGACTATGTGTTTTGTGAACAATTTGCTGAAATTGTCAAGGTGATAACAAATATTGAGTTGATATTTTTAATTTGAAATACAGTATCATACCTACATTGACCAAATATAATGTGCAACTGGGTTCCGGAATTACTATAATAAAATTATGCCATTAAGTTTTTCCGTTCTTGTTGACTGTATTATTATGCGACAAACATTGCCCAGTGATGGAGAAAATGTAAACATCATCTAAGATATGTTAGCCGCATAATTGCAATAATGATTTATCTTGAGTCGATGAGCAGCTACCATATGGGACAAACTAAACCCAGTGATGCCATTTGTATTCCCCATCAGTCCAGATTTAGTTCATCGCATATAATTAAATCGCAGCTCTTATTGTGGTAGATGCTATATTGTAGCGTAATACTTCACAGTCTCACCAGTAAAAAGTACAAACTAATACAAAAGGACAGCTTGTACATTTTTAGTGGCAAGAAAGTTGAAATACATTTCCATTATAAGTAAAATATTTTCTATTTATCACATATCCAAAATGACATTTTAAATTGAAGTACATACTGATCTGATTTAAAGTCCAATCACTGTGATATGGTTTGCAAATAATACATTTCACAATGATTGTTCCTTCAAATCAAAAACAGTTTTTTTTGTGTATTCCCAAGCATCTCGTTGAATTTAGGACAGTCGTATAAGAGAACCACTACTGTGATATGAATTCAAATAGCTACAAGTCACAGAAAAGGTCCTCTAAAATGATCTATCCTTTGAATTTCAAATACATCCAGTATTATGCAGGTGTAGCGTGACACATTCTAAGGCACAAATCACTGTGATATGAATTCGAAAAACAACACATCACAATGACAGTTCCTTTGAGTGTATTCACATTTTTCTATATTTATATGAAAATCAACATAAATGATAATTAATTGATGATTTTAAATAAGCAAATGGCAGGTAACTACAGCTGTGATACGATTATCAAATATCAAACGTATCACGCATATAGTTCCTTGAATTCGCCTATTCATATTTGAAATATTCATGATTAACACGTGAAGAAGCGCCGAAACATATTGTCAGTGATGTCCTAGCTTTATGATGACCGAAAACACTCATAAGGTAGAACACCAAAGCAGTATTAATCGGACAAATTTTCAAAAGAACACTTACTATTCACACACAATATGTACCTCGATTTGCTGAATGTGTTTCATCGATTAAAGGCGAGTGTACGGTCTAGTCATTTGATTAAAAATATAATGACTAGTCCGACATCCACCGATAGTTGATGAACAAGTCCCATATAAATTCAAATATTCTCGAGATGAGTCCATGCCATGTTCCATACCGGTGTCGATGGTCGCAAAGCTCCAAAAAGAATGCGCAGTTGCGTTGGATGAATCTAGCCCGGTGATTTAAGACAAACTATTTCATTAACTAACCATACCGAGGCGAGATTCAACAAACACATACAACATTTTACCTCACTTGGTACAAAACGTTCAACAAATTTCGCCCGCTTAGGACACCAACGCTCGCACTGACGTAATCACTTTTAAGATTTGCCGAAATAACGTCCTCTACTGCGCTGCACGTGCCTTTATACCACGATTTTTGCGGGCGATGCTCTCATTGGCCGCATCGCACCGAGTAGCGGGAGGGGGTGCTTTTTGGAAGCGGTCTTCGGTCTTCGTGCCGCGTGTTTCTGTTTATATGCATATGAATTTAACAAAATTGTGAACGTTGTTCAAAATCGTATTTAGAAGCCACAAAAAATCGAAAGTTTTTACATATCAATTACATACTTGTTTATCAAATTGTAATATTTCTAAATTAATTAAATATATTAACAAGTATTATAAAAATATTAATAAATTCAAGTAAAATTACTTAAATGTACGTTAAGATGGACCGTAGTACCACGCGTACTACGCATAACATATCCGAATGTCAAAGGTATTATAATTCTTCTTAAGTACAATCAAATATTTTTGTATTATGTATTTCCTGGTATTTGACATATCATATATATATTATATATATGAACTTTTAAATCCGTGCATTACAGTGAAATTTGCATTACTTATTATACTAAATAAGCAAGTTCAGCACATACATATTATTTTGTATGATATATCATGTCCCGAAAATTCATTCTTGAATTGTCACAATAGTAATAAAAAATAAGCTATTTAAAATTATTTGAGAACAATTTTACCGCATTATTACCGTTTAAAAAATTTAAGATTTATTGAAATTATAATAAAATATAACAATTTTCCACTACAAATATTGATAGCATCTACGATGTTAATTAATAAGAAGTTTTATAAAAATTGATTATGTAACTCACGGTAAAGTATTTCGTCAAAGGCATCGGAGCACAATATTTTCGTGGCAGGTATTGGCTTAGTTGATAAAGATCATTGATGTCAAATCTTAAAAAACTGAATTGTTATACTATTCGTTCCAATTATGAAACAACTATTTTTGTAATTAACGTTGCTTTAAATACAATAAACGACTCTTGAACACTGTTTCGAAAGATTGGGATTCGAAAAATTTCATAAAGTTTATCAAATTACTTTCATTAAGTCGCAGTCTCACATCTATTCTGAAGCTGAAATTTGTTTTATATATTTATAAATATCATATATATATATATATATATATATATATATATATATATGTGTGTGTGTGTGTGTAAACTGTAAGTTTTTGTTTTATTTTTAATATCCGGCTATACGCATCTGTTTCATATTATAAAACATATATTTTATGCGTATATGCATCATTTATTACTATGTGTTATTCAATAGCACATCATTTTATTTATAAATAAATCGTTAAGATAATCGAATTGTTTTGATATTACCGTCCGGTTGATATTATTCGGTTGAGAAGCGTTCGATTTCAATAGAATATGTTTATGAAATTCCGCAGACCGAAGAATTGTATTGCTTTTCCGTTCGAGACATTGTTTACATTTTTTTTTTCTGATTGTGTGAGTATCGATCATATGTTTTGATTAATCGCATTATGATTACGATACATGCGCAACGATATATTTATTAGAACTCAGGATTATTATTGAATATACCTTGTTTTTCTTTGCTGTAGACGTTAGTTTACATATTTGAAAATGTGACTGAAATCGAATTGGTGGGAAATTGTTATAGTTCGCATTCTTTTAGACTTTTATGTATTTTTATATTCGAACGTTATCAGATTTTTCGAAGGTTTAGAATTAGAAAACTACTTTTTACAGAATTTTTGAAAATGATATTTACTATTAAATTTATAGTATTATAACTTTTGTGAAATTATTTTCAAAAGATCTGAAAGATGACGCTATGACATCATTTTTTTCCTTATCAAAGAAATATGTATATGCGCAACTTATATGCTCTTTACCAAATAGTATATGATCTTATTTATGTTACTATCATGTGTTCATTGTATTAAATTTACATTAATGAATTCCTAATATTTTGCGAACGTATAATTTGATTTTCAGATATCTTGAATGAATTACTCGAGAGATGAATTAGTACATTTGAAATGAATGAATTCGAATATGTAATCTTGTTTTTATTTAGGAAAAATTATAGTTTACTTTTTATTTCAAAATAATTTATATGCGTTGAGGTTTCTCTCGGAATTTAGGCATACTTTCCAGATTATTGTTTTTTTTGTATTACAATCTAAATCTCCGCGTAATTAAAATTACTACAAAATTTATCTATTTAAATTTATTTTATAAAATCTGGTAATGTATCAGAAAGTTCTACGGCACATTTTACATGTTAATCGAAGGTATTAACCCTTTGTTATCGTTACAATTGAATCGAGCCAATATTATGGGCTACTTTCACTTTGATTCAAGGTATTTTTTTATATACCTGAGCGATTAATCGCCGTTTTCAAAACTTTTCCAGGAGTAAGCTTATCATACACATAAATTATATATAATAATTAAAACCAATCGGTTATATATAGTAACTTAATATAATGTAATGTGATCTTATGTTAGTCAGACATGTATTCTTATCTGCATACACATGTATGCACACATGTATATATAAATATTATTCTACATATATATATATATATATATATATATATATATATATATATATATATATATAGTAGAACTTCAATCATCCGAACTTTAATTATCCGAACTCCGACTATCCAAATCACTTTCAGAAAAAAAATTGTCAAAAAAAAGTCTAAGTGCGCTATTATTCTTATAATATAATTCTTATAATATACTTCCACCAGCGAAGCCAGTGTTGGCACATTGTTTGTTTTGATTTGACGGAGATGTTTGAAAAACAATAATTTTTATTTCTAAACTTGTACATAAGTACATTTTATTTATATTTAAAACATGTGAAAATATCATGTTTCTTTCATTTAATTCAATAAAAAAAATAGTGCAATATCAAAACGTAACTTTTTTTCTCTCCAATGGCAATTTAAAAAAAAAAACTCCGAATATTTGATTATCCGAATCGTTCCCGGACCCCATCAATTCGGATAATTGGAGTTCTACTGCATATGTAGAGCTTCAAACAAAGAATCCAAAAACTAATAAAAAACATAAGTTTTTTAAAAACCGTTTATTTATTTACTGTCAACGTTTCGGAACTTAGTACGTTCCATCTTCAGAACATGATCATGATAGATTTAAACAAACAATATATTAAAGAAAGGTAGAAAATGGTGGATTTTTATATAAAACGAGTTTTGAATAATTTTCATTAAACATATTTGTTTCTAATCTAAGGTTCTTGATAAGTCTTGAAAGAAGTTTCGTTCCATTCGTTTCGCTCTTTGAAAATACCGAGGTTTCGTTCTTTCATAACTTATCAAGAACCTTAGATTACAAACAAATATGTTTAATGAAAAATTATTATATATATATATATATATATATATTTATGTATATATTATGTATACATTAATATTTGTATATATTCGTTATTTCAATGTTATATAACTTAAATATTAGTCGTATAAACGAATTTTATTTGCAATTTTTTGTGTTTTTGCTTTAATTTAACGAAATAGTAAATTATAAATTTTACAGCTCATGTTAACTCATTGTCAGTTAAATCTAGTTTTGTACTGGCATTATTTTTGAGTTTTTGTACTCAACTAAATACAGTTTGTGCATAAGATAGTAAAATATTTAATTAATACATATTGCAATTAAAAAAGATCAAGATTAAAGAAAGGAGATTTTAAAAATAATTCGCATTACTTCACATGTCAGATGAATATGAAATTTGTTTATTTCATTATCTAAACAATTCATCTATCAAACAATATTTGATAAAATAACTATCAACAATATTTGTGATTCCTAAACTTTGAGAACCTTATCAAATTAAAATTTTTGATGAAATTCAATAAAATCTCTTTTCAAAAAGTTTTCGATTGATATAAACGGATACAAAGCCTATCACATTAATCCGAATAAGACAGGTAGTAAAAACGTAGGCCCCAAGCACCTGGAAAGTTGATCAGCTGTCGATGATTCATATTCATTTGATAATCAAATTTTTCCAAAATTTTAATTCATTATAATTAACTTCTATATATATAAATACACACACACACACATATATATATATATATATATATATATATACACACACCTATCCCCCGTTTTACACGGTACTCTTTACATTTTTTTCAATCTTACGCGGTTTTTGCAAATATTTTTTTTTAACGAAATTTAATAATTTTGAATTTACACGAAATTATAAACACTAAACTATAATTTACTTATATCTGCAATAACATTTTTATTTTACTGTCTTAGTTACGAATTCTTAGTAGACGGTTTTATGGAAATTAATATGGGAACTTCCCTATTTATGATTAAAACAAAATTTTATGTGTATTTTATTGAAACAAAGAGCACATAATTGTTTTTTAACTTTGTTTTTAATTAGTGTTTGTATATAATTGATAGCGTAAATTTATTCAAGGTGGGCAAATAAAACATTATAGTTCCACAATGGCAAAAAATGAAAATAAAAAATAGAGAGTAAAAGAAAAGTTATATCTGTACAAACCAATTTGAATTTTCATTCATAGCGAAAATGCAATATTTAAAATATTGAAATAAATTAATTTTCTTATAATTTATTGAATATGTTTCATATTAAATATATTAATATTTATTTTTCGTTCAATGCGTTTATTAGTCATCATATTAAAAACTGAAAAAAAGACTTTTTTATAGTGATTTTTGTTTATTACGGTTTTCGAGTCACACTTTTTTTTAACGAATCTTCCGTGTAAAACGTAAGATAGGTATATATATATATATAATTTGTTTTAACTTATCGAAGAAGGTTGTTTTCGCTGGAGAATACGAATTGAAAATTTTATGTTTTATCGACGTTTTAAGTCATTCTGAATCATTTTCCCCGAATTTGGAAAAAGTATGTGTGTATGTGAGCCAGTTTTTGAGATTTGGTCGATAAAAACGTTTGCACCGATTTGAAACATTCAAAAGCCGTTTTATGAAATTCGTTAGGATAGGGGCTAGCCTTGATTATTTTTGTAAACTGATCGGTTGGACAGCTTCTTTAGAAAAAGTAGAAAAGTTCAAAAAATTTTGTCAATGTTTTCGCAAAAAAATTTCTATATCTTTGATTTTGAAAATTCATATCAAAATTATCATTTGGCTAATGGTCTAAATTAACAACAAAAATATTATAGGCCTACGGTAAGCGGTTGAACTGTAAAAAATTGTTAAAAATTTGGAATAATGGCCGTTGTAATTACCATGGACGTCCACACTTAAATAAAATACATTTTTAGAACACCTAGTTGAATGAAATGTTAAATAAGTTATCTTAATTTATACAATTACAGATGCCTGTTGTTTGCATTTGGAATAGTAATAGAATATAGCATTAATTACTTCTTAGTGAAAGCAAGAACTTTATAGTTTTATCTAAATAGCTAACAATGACTTTTTTTATTGATTTAAAGTTTATTTATATACTAGTTTATAAATCTAAACTTACTAGGCGTAAGTGGCATTTGGCCTTGAGGCAAGTTGCAAACTTGGTTCAGGATTTTTGATTAAACCATAGACAGAAAATTTCAGACCAAACTGACAATTTTGAAGAAACGGCTTTGCTGAACGTCGCACAAAACTAATAAGCGTGAGTCTTTATCACGTTTCAACAAATGGCTTTGACATTTTTGTATTCAGTGCAGTCGTTTAAGAAAACATCGATGAAGGGTGAAATTTTGGCTCACGTACATACATACACACATACTTTTTCAAATTTTGATGTCAAACGATTCAGAATGACGAGTAAACATAAAATTAGCAAATGGGATATTTTTTTTCGAAAACATATATTTTTTTAAAAGAAGTTGAAAAGTAAACATATCCTAAGTATAATATTTAAATTATGATATATTACATTTGTAAATAGAGCTGTGTAATTAATTTAGAGTTTCTATTTTATTCGTTATCCTTTTAGGTTGGATTTAAAGGTTTTGGTCTTGCTCCGGCTCGGTTGCAAGACTTCGGTGAGTTTACGTGGTCTGATGGCAAGAAGTATCGAATTGGACACGGTTCGGTCGTAATTGCCGCCATAACAAGTTGCACGAACACCAGTAATCCTAGTGTCATGTTGGGAGCTGGTTTGTTGGCTAAGAAAGCAGTTGAAGCTGGTCTTTCGGTTAGTTTCAACATATCTTTACATCGTTCAAATCTAACGGTTCTAAAAGATTTTACTAAATACATAGCAAATATTGCATATTGCAGGTTCTACCATACATCAAAACATCTCTGTCTCCAGGATCTGGTGTTGTAACTTATTACTTGCGCGAGTCGGGCGTGGTACCGTATCTTCAAAAACTTGGATTTGATGTAGTTGGATACGGTTGTATGACTTGCATCGGTAATAGTGGACCGCTCGAAGAAAATGTGGCGAATACAATCGAATCTGTGAGTGTTATGCACTAATTGAAATTAATATTGTTAGGTTATTGCTGTTATTTAACTTTCTTTATTAGAATGAATTAGTGTGCTGCGGTGTATTATCTGGTAACCGAAATTTCGAAGGTAGGATACATCCAAATACCAGAGCCAATTATTTAGCCAGTCCATTGCTTGTTGTGGCTTATGCAATTGCTGGTACTGTGTGTATCGATTTTGAAAAGGAACCTATCGGTGAGACATATTTTAATTATAACATTGTAATTAATGAAAGTTTTTTACTTCAACATGTACTTTGTTCAATATTATATTTACTACTATATTGTATTCTATTTAGTACCTACCTTGTTTTATTGTATTGGAGTAGAAAATTGCATTGCGCATAAGAATAATCTGGACAGATAATTTTATTATTAAACTTTTAAGTTTTTAGCGCAATCTAAATCAAATGGTACATGTATTTTCTATACATTTCTTTGATGAGCGGATTTATAAAGAGTGATTGTAATATTTTTTTTACATTGTTACCAATAATTATTGTAGGTAAGCGTGCGGATGGTTCTGCAGTGTTTTTGGCGGATATATGGCCTTCTAGAGATGAAATTCAGCAAGTAGAACAAAAATATGTGATTCCTGCTATGTTCAAAGAGGTACATATAATTAGCAAAGCTAAACTTAATTTTTTTTTTGTTCTTTTCGATGTTAACTAACGTGAAATTAAATTAACACTATTAATTAATAAAATTATGGCTTTATGTTGATTTGAATCAACGAGACAAAGAAAATATTGTCTTAAGTTGTCTCATTTTATTTCAGGTTTATGGGCAAATAGAAAAAGGCTCTCCGAATTGGCAAGAACTTGAAGCTCCCAGTGGCAAGATTTATCCATGGGATAAAAGCTCTACATACATTAAACATCCGCCATTCTTCCAAGGAATGACTAAGGTAGTTGGTTTTTCTAATTTTATTATGTTTAAAATTTTAAAAAGTTTCTATTAAGTTTTTGTAGAAATTTGCTTAATCTACATGCATAATTTATTTGATGTTCATTAATAATAAATAATGATATATAAAATAATATGTACATTAGCTTTAAAATTAACATTACTACTCACTTTTTGTATATGAATTATGAAATAAGATGTTTGTCAATTTTTAACTTCTCGTAGGGTATTAACTTCCCTTAGGGTAAGTTATAGTAATCGCAAAAAATCAAAAATGAAAATTTTTATATAACTTTCAGTTTCAGAGGTTTCTGAAAATTTTGGCATATCTTAGGAAAAATGGATGTATGTGGCTGTGTGTGTGTGCGCGTGTGTGCGTATATGTATGCGCGGATACAAATTTTCATCGACGATTTTGCGAACACGGATTAACCGATTTGAATAATTCAAAAAACATTCGATTCCTACTAATAAGGAGACGTGCTGATTAGTTTTTGGCAAAGGCAGGTCTATCTATTTCGGAGATACGGGGCAAAAAGTGCCAAAAATGTTATTTCAGTTTTTGAGATAATAACGAAGCATCCGATTTAAATCATTCAAAAAACATTTTACTTGTATTGACGAAATGAACAACTGGTGAAATTTTTGTAAAGGCAGGTCCAGCGTGTCCGGAGATCCTATACAAAAGTGAAAAATAATGCCATTTGGCGGTCCAAACTGAACATTAGACATATGTGCATCGTATTATCAGATATTTTATAAAGATTATAATAATAAGTACAAATTTTGTGTACTTTTATATGGGCTCCGCACCTGTATTTAGACGTTAGACGACTACGCGGCGCTCACGCGCTTGATATTTCGACTCCAAATCAGCTGTGCAGTGCGATTGCTTAAAAAAAATGATCCAAATTTTCAAAATTAATCAAAATATTTTTTTTTTTAATTTCAAAAATTCTCAAAAATCTAATTTTGTCAAGTTTTTTTTAATAACTTAGTACTTGGTACGGGAAGTTCCTGCAATTTGCACGATGCCATGCACCACTAGTTTATATTTTTATTTTTGTTTTTATCCGATGATGATATCCTGGCATAATTGCAATATGATATGAGTTAAAATACAGGGTTTTGGGAATACTTACATTCTCCAACGAGACCACAAATAACACCACTATTTTCAATATGTTTTTTTTTATTTTCACACAATAAATGAATAATATAATAATCGAAAATAAGAGGAACTAATCTAACTGTATGGTCTGCATGAACTAATAATACTTGACTGTAACGTTTTATTTCGTTTTTATTTAATGCATTTTTTATTTAACATTTTTGATTGCTTGTTTTATTAACAGGAGTTGCCAAAGCTGAAACCGATCGTAAACGCGCGAGCTCTGTTGAACCTCGGCGATTCCGTGACGACGGATCACATTTCGCCCGCTGGAAGCATCGCTCGCAATAGCCCGGCAGCCAGATTTTTAGCTTCTAGAGGGTATGTTAATCAGTTAATATAATTTACGTTAATTAGGCGAAAAATCAGAGACCTCTAATAACGAGGACGTCAAAAATTATCACTTCATATAAATAAACATTTTGGCGAATTGAGCTGTTTTTGAAAGCTTTCGTAATTGCTTTTTAGTTTACACCAAAAAATCGAAAATTTTATTCTGATGTGTTGTACATTTTGTTATGAAAAATAATCCTTCAAAGACTTACAATTTAACTTTCGATTACATGCTTTATGTGTAATTATTTTAAGTTTTTATCAATTATACAGTAAATAATTACGGTTTAAAATACATATTCTATAAATTCAGAGATTTAATTAAATTAATAATTATTTTGTGAAGGACAAGATTATTCTGCAGACATTGAATTTGATCGACAATATCGCGCAAACCAAAATTAACTGGCTGATGTGGTAGTGATATCCTTGAATAATATTTGTTAATAAATACATTAAGTTAGCATTAAATAGTACAAATAAAGTAATTTAATTTAAATCTCTAAAATTTTCTATTGCCTGTCATAAATTATTGGAAGTAGTATTTCATGAGTGTTTTTATTTTTGTAATATAAAGCTTTCAAGATACATGATGAAGACTTCTTATAGTTCATAAATTGATCAATGCTAAAATGTTGTTTTAATTTATATATAAAAATTATTGTTAATAGAACTACTAATGTTGTTGATTTTGTTATAGATTAACCCCGAGGAACTTTAACTCCTATGGTTCAAGACGAGGTAATGATGACATTATGGCTCGCGGTACCTTTGCAAATATTCGTCTTGTGAACAAATTGGTACCGAAACCTGGTCCACGAACTATCCATATACCCACCGGAGAAGAAATGGATATTTTCGACTGTGCTGAAAGGTGAGTTCACCTTTTTCAATAAGAAAAACTTAATTTTGTTAATATATTTGTAATTTTTCTGTGGTTAAGCCGTGTTCAGCCGTGTTCAGCCGTGTTAAATGTTGTTTCATTACATAACGTGAATATGTGTATAAAATTATTATTTGTAGCTATTGTAAATTTTTCAATATTAGTAAATATACATTATCTTAAATATGACATGATTCTTTATTTTATTTTAAGATATGCTAAAGAGGGAGTACAATTGATTGCACTAGTTGGTAAAGATTATGGCAGTGGGTCTAGCAGAGATTGGGCAGCAAAAGGACCTTATCTGTTGGTAATAAATTCATTTTAAAGAGTTTTTTTTTAAATTACTATATAAAGATGGGCAGTTGATAATATTATAATTGATATCATTTTTTTTAGGGAATCCGAGCTGTAATTGCAGAATCTTATGAAAGAATCCATCGGTCAAATTTGGTTGGCATGGGTGTAGCACCTCTGCAGTACAAAAATGGTCAAAATGCTGACTCACTAGGTTTGACTGGTAAGGAAGCATTCAGTATCAACATTCCAGATGATTGCAGACCTGGCCAAACTTTAACTGTACAGGTAACATGAAGACTATAACTTACTTTAATTCCTGAATTTACTGAAAAAAAATTATTTTAATAGTATTAATTTGCTATCAATGTTTTGTTACAGGTTGATGATGGTCGTTCATTTGAAGTAATTGCTAGATTTGATACTGAAGTTGATCTAACATACTACAAAAATGGTGGAATATTGAACTATATGGTCAGAAAAATGCTTTAAAAATATTGCAATTAATCAAGGACCAATTATACTGAAGGAAATCATTGAACTATAGTGAGTTTTCATGCATAAAAGACGATATGAATAACTATTCTTAATATTTATAAAAGCTCAAATTGCAATGTAGCATCGATTTATGCAGTATAATTGCCCATAGTCAAATGTTTAATATTTATATATTGTATTGAAATGCACAGGGGTCTATATTATGATATTATAGAAAATTATGTACAAAAAATTAGATTTGTCACATTTTAATTTTATTAGGTTTTCATTATATTGTTATATTTGGTGGAGTAATGGAATTATGGTTATGGTTTTTGGAATTACATTTCACCAAAAAACATCATATTTCTCTAATATATTTTTGTACCTCTTAAATATACATTGTTTGTTATATATAATGTTATTTTATGATATTTAAAAATAGAATAAAAATTGTTTACGAAAATATAATAAAAAGAATATCCAATTTTAGTGAAAGCATGAAAGATCTTGAAATTGGGGACTAATATTGCAATACCCGGAAGTATTTTGTGATGTGTAATCAGTACTGGATATTTCTTTTAATTACAGTGTTTTCAGAGTGTTTACTTTGTTTTTATTGCTATGATAGTAACTCATTATGTTATTTTAAACATCTCTAGTAATATTCTTATTGCAGATAAGATGCTGATGTATAAATTCTTTGACAATAATTATCATTACTTTAGTGCTAAAATTTTTAGTGCAAAATTCAAAGTTAATATCGTTTGAAGGTCCAGAGCATGTTATACCTTTTGCAAAAGTAACATAAAAATGTGGGTATCAAACTAATTCGTTTTTGTTTTATTTTACTCCTAAATTTTATTATGGTATATTTTATTGTGGTATGGGTTCTGTTAAGCAATTATTACATAAGGCATTGTGTAAAATTTAATGTGTTTAGTAGTTTTTAGTTAAAAAAAAAAAAAAAAAACGATATAATATTTTGTATAAAAATTAACGCAAATTAATGTATTGTATTGACTGTATGTGACAAAAAAAACTCTCGATGTCTGTATTATTGGCGCTCGTTTTATCTGTTTATCATTTGTCATGTTACAAACAATTGTGATTAACTATATTTAGCTGTGAGTTTCAGGTACATTTTAAGAGGGAGAACAAAAACGATTATTTTGGATTTTATGGGTTTCACTTTTTTTTTTTGTTTCCGTAAAGAAAGAAATCTGAGGAGTCCCACAAAATTATTTGTGAACTTTATAGCCCTAATTGTATATCAGAGTTCATGCGATATCGGAATAAAAAAAAAGTTTTTGAGTTTCTACACAATTAATGATTGGCTAACTGTAGTCGTTAACTGTAGTTTGCAAATCGCATTTGGTTCACTTAAAAGGACTTGAACTTTTACGACAATGGGAAATATATAATTATTTGACTTTTGAAATTTCCATAAAAAGTTGAGATCTATTTAACATAATAAAATGCGAAATTACATATATAAACTAATTGTTGACAAGTTATTAAACGTAACTCAAGGTAAAAAATCAAAAACGTAAAATTTGTTCATGTGGCACACCTAATTTTATGATTCAACTTTTCAGATTGATTTGCACAGTTGTTTTATTTAAGTAACATTTTTTAAGTTAAGTAAGCAAAAAATAGTCGGAATTACTTACATCCTCTAATGCCGCAATTTTATGATTTGTCAAAAACTATTTTGTGAAAAATATTATCAAATGGTTTAGGTGATAGTGAAATATTGGCTAGACAAAAGTGAAGTGGAAGCAAACTAATTCATCATGGTATATCAGAGTCAGTTAGAGAAATGTTGTGAATGTGGATGACTTATGTCACAGATAAAAATTAATGATTTCAACAAATGGTTAAAAAGGTGGTCATAAACATTTTCAATGAGAAGTACATCTATAAAATTAGGTAAGTGCATATTAAGTATATGATTTATTTTATGAAATTTCTCATATGAATAAATATTTGTTTAAACTGAGCACTTAACTGATTAACTTATGGTTAAATATTAAATTAAGCCACTATGCTTGGCATTAGGACCCTTACAAGAATATGTTTGCTGCATACATTAAACATTCGACTTCAAAATTTTTAGCCATGTTTAATATATTGATTTAAATATACAACAATTTCACCAACTTGTTTGTACATTGATATTATATTGCCAATTCAAATAATTTTCTACAAAGGCGACTGACAACTTTAACTAGACTCAATTGTCTTAATCATGTGTCACAAATCAGAAAATACTATTTATAGGATCTTACTGAAAAGGTGTTACTATATTCATGCATTCTTGCGCACTTCTTGCACTTATTTATATTGATTAGCCACGTGATTTTGCTTTAGTATATGGGTAATTATTATATGTAATGTATTGTTTTCAAAATGCTTTCGAAATTTTATATATATATTGTTTTATATATATATTAGATATTTCTTTAACCGTCATATGAATTACTTCAAGATAAATGAGTAATCTGCATAACTTTCAATAAAATTTCTTTATTCTCTTATTCAGTGGTTATCCCATTTGCTCCCATTCAGAAGTATTTTTATAACAATAATATATCTATCCATATAAACATTTCAAATCATGATTGAGATCAATGATTTATTGATACAGACAGAATTTTAGTGAACACATAAGTAGTGCCTCTTATTTCTATTGAATAATAAATTTTAGTACAAGTGAAAGTTTCATACTAATAACTTAAATTTTGTGAAAATTGTTATAAATTAGACATATTGTAAACCAAAAAAAATTAAATTGTAAATTTATTCATATTGCCTGCATGAAACAATAAAGTTGTAAAATATTCAGAGCAAACTTCTTTCATCACTCTAAGCACAAAATCATACGTCAACAAAATAATTATAATTTATCAATAATAACATATAATTATCTATTTAGTATTTTCATACAAAACTGGTAATTTGAACAAGTCGATATAGCTACCAATTATTGATTATTTATATTTTATTCTCACTCCTTTTTCATTCAGTGGTCAAACTATATAACATATATATCAATATCTTTAATATGAAGGTGGTTATCGGAAAAGTGCTAGCTTAATATGTATCAAACTACAAGATACTATTAAGCATTCTTTGAAATCACTTACATCAAAGCAACACCAAAAAGTATTTTCTTATACAAGAACATAGAATTTTTGGTAATTGTTTAACTAGAAAAATTATTTTTCGACTAGGAAGTATATCAGAATTTTAAATTCTCATATATGAAATAAAGACTATTTTTTTACATGCTATGGCATTTAGTCATATATAATGATAAACTACTTAAAATTATAAATAAAATTTTGTATAATTTAACAGTGGATACATGTGTAATCAATATTACAGATCTTTAGTCATGTTTACAGTTGTTAAGAACATATCCAAATGAAATCAAACTAGATAACAAAACTTAATACTATTTAATAATGGTAATTTATTGAAAAGGTGATATATGTAGAAAAAAGTCTCAAAAATTAAATAAAGCAATTCTTGCGTATTACTTTTAAAATCTGATATAGTAATTGATCATTACGAATAAACAAATGTATTTGTATATACAAAATATTTTGACAAGCGTTTCATAATAAAACAGTTAAATGCTTCAAAAGCTCGCTAACAAACTACGTTTTTAAAACATACTACTATAAATATAAGGTACATATATTGATAAAAATTATCAATCTGTAATATTTTAACAATAACCATTGCGAGAAAGCTATTAGTTTCTTTCTCATTATAAAATATATTAATAGTTTGAATTTAACATAGCTAATATTTGATTGCACATTTGATGTGTAAGACCAGAAGTTGTGGCAAATATTGACATAATATGAAATCACAAGATTATAAAATGCATATCAATATCACAAAAATCTACTCTTACAAAAAACATGAAATCGTCAAGTTTTGGTATCATGAAAAAACATTTTAATTATTGAAAAATCACAAAATACATGACCTACCACTTAATATGATCTTTATATTTTTCATTTACCGCTAAACGTTTAATAGTTTCGTAACCGAGAATTATACTAAAAGAAAAGCAGGCAGATTGAACAAGGCGAGCAGATAATCCTTTCGTAAACATTTTTAATTTTTCTTCTTGCCACAATTCTGTGAATGCTAATTTCATGGAATCTAACCTTTGCACCTGCAATTAAAATTGAATTATATATGTATATATTTTATATACAGTACACTCTAGTAGTTTTATTATTTACCTGAAGTCTTGCTCTTATAATATCTAATGGGTTTGTGATAATCGTTGTTGTGAAGCCACCAAGTGTGCCCGCCACTGATTGAATAAAGAGATGTGATACCCATTCTGGCAATATTCTATACAACTCATCTGAAACATTTCTCAAATAAGAAAAGAAAAGATATGCATTTATATAGTCAGTACCTTGATATAAATGATAGAACGCCCACCACATAGCAGAGTTTGGAACATAAGCCATTAACGAGGCCCCATATCCTCTATAAAAGCCTGCAAAACCATCTCTTCGGTATATCTGACGTCCAATATCTAAAGTGATTTGTAAACGAGATCCTTTTCCTTCTTTCACTGTAATTCCAAGTGGATTAACAGTGCCCTGAAATTATATTTATATAAATATATTTGAAATTGAAAGAAATATTTAATCAATAACAATACCTTTCCGCTATGTGATGACATTCCTAAAACCATGGCATGTTGAGATATGACATCAAAAGGGACAATTATCGTTTGACCAACTAAAGAAGCGCATGCACCTCCAATGAGAGCTTTGGCTCGACCCTCGATTCCATTTTGAGATAATATATGACGAACACCCTCATAAGTACTTATGTAAAAGACACCTGATACTATTTGAACCTGTATAATTATTTATTTTAACAATTAGATATGCATAGTAAAAAAGTTGAGTCATGAAGGCAGGTTATTGATAAGAACCTGTTACTACAAAATACTATTATTTATTGTATATTATATCGAGTACAAACTTTAAAAATTCAGTATTGTTGATGTCTGTTTACATTTGTCTCACAATCATAACTATTTTTCTTTTAAAAAAATATAGCAAAAAAAAAAACATTACATGCTGGATTAATATTAAACTTATAATATACTATTATATTATAGGGTATGTATTGAATTTCAACATTGATATTCTTGCATAAATACATACAATTGAATAGAATCCAATATGCAGATATAGTAATAAAACCAATATTTTAAACCAAATTTAGTATTCCTCGTAAGAAATAACAATAAGTAATATAATAGGTTGTCAAATATCTCCCTTCCGCCTTTTTGTATTATAAACCAAGAGCAAAAAAGCGGAAGGGAGATATTTGACAACCTAATATATACGTTGCATATATTGCTAACGAGTTCTAACTAGGTAATAGTCATATAACTTACAGAAGAAATCCAAAAGCCTCGATACAATCCTGAAGCGCCTTCGCTTTTGTAGATCTTAGTCCCAGCATCAATCATTCCTTTGTATACATCATTTTTATGTTGGACTTGTAGTTGAGTTTTAATAACAGTCAGAGGGTACAGAGCACATCGAACAGAGAACGAACTCAACATTGACAAAGGAAAGAACTTGGCTTTGTCCATCATGTCCCACTCGATGGTCTTTATGAATTGTGGTGTCGGCGTATCGACTATGGTACTCATTGTGGTCAACATTTATATAAATATTCTTAGATTTTCTTAATTAAATTATAAATAATCTTAGGTTAGGATTTAAAATATTTTACAAATATGTACAGCAAAAGAGATATATTTATAACTAAACAATTGTCACGACATTTTCACTCTTTATACTACACTTCTTTTATATATATTTAATTTTACATACAATAATATAAGTCATATTAGAGGTACGTCGGTCCATTCTCGTTACAAAGATTTTGCTAAGGATTTTTCTACCCATTGCACCATTTTACTAATGTCCACAAGCCATTTTCAAACCATGAATATGTTGTACGTTTTACTTATGATCGACTTCATTAATCAGCTTTCGAAATTATTGACGTTATGCAAAAATACTTGGAAAATAATGTCATTCAGTTTGTGATATTTTACGTAATGAAACACAAAATTTAGAAAAGTTGTAACATGTACTCATAGATATTGATTGCTTCGATCTGAAATAACTAACAATTTGGAAAGTTCAATTTTAAATATCATTACATCATCATGATTTGTTTTTACGCAGATATGAATTTGATAACAGTTGTAACATTGCTCTTTGACATATTTCCAATGTCAAAATTTTCATTCAGTGTTCCGTCAAGTTCGGATCTATGGTGCAGATGACGAACACTTCGACTAGAGGGCGTCGCTTTCCGTTAAATTTAATTTGTCGAAATTATTCCCGAATTTTAAACATTTTAAATAAAATTTAATAAATTCAATTTATTTTGTTCTGAAAACATGTTTTGTTATTTAATGCTATAATAAAACATTTTACATATTAATTTTCATGCCGCCTTAGTAGGCGGGGCAAAGGGTTGAAATGCGAAGACGTGGGCGGGATTGCGCAAGAGATGTTTATTGAGGAAAACATTGCATGGCCCTTTCAGAATTTTCAGTTACGGTTAAATGGTTCAGGTGCGCATGTTGATAACATCGATAATAATATGAATACTTTTTTAATAAGTTTAATTGTGGTGATTTAGTGCGGTTATAAAGGTTACACGCGAAACAATCAATTTGGACATAAATTGCGTCAAAATGAATTTGACAGATTCACATTTGAATTGTCCAGAGATAAGTAGAATTGTAAGTAGGATCTATAATTTTAATAATTACTTGAAAGCTTTGAAAATGCCATTTAATTACTTTAATAATAACTTCATAAGCGTTTTTGTATTTTCATAATGTTCAATGTTTTTTACACCATATTCAAATGTCATTTACGTTAAGTTAATGTTTGTAAATATTATTTTATTAATCAACTATTTAAAACTATAAAGGTCAACCCAATTTTACAAACTTTGACTTCAGGCACGTAGTAATTCTACTTACTAATTATTTTCGTTTCCTCTTAATTGTTAGAATTTCTATAATATTTTATTTGCATAATTATACATACAAACTTTATGAACTTATTTTTATAGATAAATTTAATCGTAATCTTCAACGATCAAATGCAGTTGAATAATAAAGAATACATTTATTTTATAATATTTATTTTTGTATGATTGATTTAGTACAAACGTATAAATTATATTCTCAATATGATGTAGCATAAAGCGAGTTCTAAGAAAGTATGTAATAATGTAAAATACATATTAGTTTATATTTAAGCAATTGTTGAAATCAATTGACTAGAACTGTTTTCATAAAGTGCATAATATTGATCATAACTTTTATCAGAATTGATTATTACATTTCTTGAATTTACTTATTTTAACGTTAATAATTTCATAATAAATTATGAATTTGACATAATTGTAAAGCATTAAAAATATCTTATTAGCTAATCATGGCGATTAAGATTTTAAGTACACGCAATATATTAGGTTGTCAAATCTCCCTTCCGCTTTTTTGCTATGGTTTATAATACAAAAGGCGGAAGGAGATTTGACAACCTATAACCTTATGACCTATTATGACATAATATGGTCATAAGAAATTTAAGGTCTATTATAACAAGTTATTATATTTATTTATTTCTTTATTTATTTATTTATTCACAAGCAAGCCGTAATCAATAATATCCGAACAATATCCGAACTCCGACTATCTGAATCGCCGATTATCCGAATCACTTTCAGAAAAAAAATTGTCCAAAAAAAGTCTAAGTGCGCTATTATTCTTCCACCAGCAAAGCCAGTGTAGGCACATTGTTTGTTTTGATTTGACGGAGATGTTTACAAAACAATGATTTTTGTTTCTAAACTTGTACAATTTTTTTTTTTTTTAACTCGTTTAAGTACATTTTATTTCTATTTAAAACATGTGAAAATGTCATGTTTATTTCATTTAATTCAATAACAAAATAGTGCAATATCAAAACGTAACTTTTTTTCTCTCCAATGGCAATTTTTTAAAAAAAACTCAGATTATCCGAATATTTGATTATCCGAATGGGTCGCGGTCCCCATTAATTCGGATAATTGGAGTTCTACTGTATATTAATAATAATACTATATATTACAATAATAATATATATTATTATAAAATCCGTCAATTTCTTATGCGAGCTTTAAAATATATTTTGCATATGATGAAGTACAAGTCGATTTGCCGCGAAAAATTATAATCACATCAAAATATCCGGTGCGACTAGACGCCAGGTCGCCGGAAATAACGCAATCGCGCGCCGGAAGCAGGAAACAGCCGTCGAACGAACGATTCAGTCGCATTTCGGTGCGAAAATCAAATCAGCCAGCGACTAACTAATATTACATCATAATCAGATTGCTCTCGATGCAAAATTTATTGCAAGCATTTAATTATGTTTGGCTCTTTGACAAGTTTGGTGTTTCAGATAGATAGATATCGACGATTGCACGATTCAAGGTAAACTTTCAATTATCAATTAAAATAGTAAATCATCTACAGCATGTCAGCTTCGAATATATTTTATTATATCAAATATATTATCTTAATAAACAACGTAATTTAAATTTAGACAATGAATTTCATATAAGGCAGAGCGGGGCTTAAAGATCCGCTGATCAAAAGGTCCATTTCCGACATCTCAAAAACAAGTAAAGTTAAAAATTCTTTAACAACAATATTTGAAAGTAGAGGAAAAAAGATGTAGATCCAGACATCACCTTAATTCTTACGACGTTGCTTTCGGGAAATAAAGGGCACTATTTGAAAATCCATAACAAATGTGTTTTCTTGTGGTTGTTAGTTTTTTGGTTGTGAGCACTGTTGCTTAGTTTACGAGACCTAAAAAGGACCAGGTGAAAATTTTTTGGAAAACAACAAAAAAAAAACATCTTTACAATGACGAATTAGCTTGGAGTTTTACTAAACATATTCAGATAGTTGTTTGTTTGATATGTGTTATTTTTTGTGATCTAATTGGTTTGGTTTTTGCAATATAATTGCTCAAAGTCAAATTAGACCTTTGTGCCTCGCACTACGCTATTATTTTAAAAATAAAAAAAAATAAAACAGTTAATATAGGGTTTTATCGAACATATAATTTCAATGCAATTGGTTAAATTGATTGAAATGCATTGGAAATAAGTAGTTGCTAATTATGACATTTTTTTAAAAGCAGTTTTATTTCTTTTAAATGAATTTTCTCATTATATTAATTTTTTTTATTCAAATTAACACTTTCTACGACAACTCTGTTGTCCAACCCAGTTCAACATATAAAATATAAAAGGTATGCTTACATCCAAAACGTTAATTTTTTTTGTTGTAAAATTTATTAATGAATTTAATATAAATACTTTGATCCATTACACTTTTACATTTTTCTTTATGTTACAACATGTTTTATGGCTAATATACGTCCAAAATACTACAGAAGTTGGAAACTTATCATATATGTCAACGGCCTAGAATGCAAAGGGTTGAAAATCATTTAAGAAATCGATAATTTAAAATTGGTGAAAACGAAAAAACCTAAAAAGGTTTTACAAAATTCTTGATTTTAGTTCACTCGAATATAAACAAACCGATTAGCTCGTTCCAATTAGGGCTTACAATACCGGGATTCCGTAATCCCGAAAACCGGGATCCCGGACGATTTTTGTCCGGTATTCAATACCGGTATTGATGCAAATAATACCGGTATTACGGTATTACCAGTATTCTATCAAAAATTCAACTTACGCAAAATACATATCAAGTTTTAGTTTCCAAACTATGTATTGTGTGCTTGACTCAGCTGAGTGAGATAAGCGACAAGCGGTGTCGGCAAGATAAAGCGATTGTTTATATATTATGTGTGACGACCAGCTAATAAAAGGGTTCATTTACAAAAGTTATTATTCGTTTACGTGCCTCGTTCCTACTTCGAATTCACTATCAATAATTTTTAAACATAATATACAATCGATGAGATATAATTCTTTATTTATTATACATAAATCATTTTACATAAGTAAGAACGGCAGTTGTTTAAATTGCGTGTCACTGACAACAATTTGAGAATTTGCGAAGGGTATTATTATAATTAGTTAATATTAATAACTAATATAGTAGAAACACACCACGTAATGAATCATATTCTCAATTGTATTGCATTCAACATAAGAATAGTCAACATTGTAATAATCTTTTATCGATGAATTGCACACATCGCAGTAATTCCCGAGAAATCCGAACGGGTAATAACTTGACTTGCACTCACACATATAAAAAAACTCTATTGATCATATTCAAAATCAAGGGAATTCCCTTAAACTAAATAAAATGTTATATAAAGCAGAAATGTAACTTTAAGTAGGCAGTTGTGTGAATTTCGTGTAGATAACATCTTAAAGTTGCGGGAAAATAAATGTTTATATGAAGAATAGTGTGTTTAATATTGTGTAAATATTGTGTTTAATTTGAACCTATGATATTTATAAGTGAGTATATAAACCAAAGTTAATTAAGTTGGTGTGTAATTAAAAAATATTAAAATAAATACTTCACCCGTGTGTGTGTGTTAAAAAAAACTCCAAGTCTAAAACAAAAAATAAAAGATGAAATTACTTTTTTTTTAAAAAAAAACAGGAATAAAAAGAACGAACCTACAAAATATGTATAATTTCTTAATTACAATTGTACCAACAAGTGTAGAATCGGAAAGACGGAAAGAGCTTGATGATCAAACAATTGATTGTTTATGTTTCTTAAGAGCATATTTTATTAAGCAAAACGTTAGCCATGAATTATAATTTATTCTTTTCTTAAATATATTAATAAATAATTAATTCTTATTATAAATGTAGAATGTAAAATGTAACATAGAAAAATATATATTTTTTACTGACACGTTTTTTGTTTCTATCTACTTCTACTCCTTATGTAATGAATAAATAATATGTACTCATTTCAGCACAATATTTGTTAGATTTCATATATTATTTGTTAATATGTCAATATAACAACTGAAGTAAGTAAAAATATAACTATTTAATTTTTCATCGACAATACCGGTATTAAAACCGGGATCCCGGAATTTCATTTTTCAAATATCGAATACCGGTATTCAGATTTTTGTACGGTATTGGAAGCCCTAGTTCCAATGAAATGACTCTATTATAATAATAAATAATAAATTTTAGTCTAATTACCGCAAATCAATGATTTCTTTCCATTTATTTTGTTTATTATACCCATTACTATTTTGTTATTGCTATTTAATTTTGTATGCATTTCCCTTTCCAAACTTTTGTTAAGTTTGCTGTATTTTCTCTTCTCACGTAAGTCATCAAAAATCAGTTATTTTTCTTTCTAATTCTTTTACCTTCGACCACGTCTTATAGGAGTATGGATCCGATCCAGTTTCCTTTCCTTTTCCAGATCGTGCTCAGTATAGTTTTATCTTTGCTCACTCTTCTCAGTATCTTTCATTTCAAAACTGTACAGATTGTTTTTGTCGGCCTTTTTTAGAGTCCATGTCTCTGATTCGTACAGGGATATGCTTAAGACATAACTCTATTATATTTTCAATATATCATGTAAATGTAATATGAGCCATTATAATATATCAGTTTATTAATATGTCAGGTTAATTGTTATTAACCGGGTTTCAATTTTGAGTTAAGATTGTATTTGAATACAAAATACTAAATATATTGTTTTCTTAAGGGGCACAACTACTGTGAAACTTTCAAAAAATCGAATTTTCAATTTTTTCATATTTCGACAGGTTATATCTTTAAAAATAACATACCAAAATTTTTAATCGATATCTTAAATAGTTTTAGAGTTATAGCCATTTAAAGAGTATATATATATAGTATATAGTATAACGATCATTTTATCTTTAAATGCGTTCTTCTCGAAACAGCATTTTCCGAATTTGCTGCAACGATTACTCAACAACAAATGATCCGATCACTATCAAATTTTTTTTACATGTTCTATATATAGTTCTCCGTAAAATGAACTATCGATTTTTTGATCGGATCAAAAATCGAATTTTGGCAGTCCAAAAACGACCAAAATTGTGGGTAAAATTCGACTTTTTTTTAAAAAACGCCGTCATTTTGCCCATTTTTTATTTTTTTCTTCATCGTAGTTCATTTTAAAGACAATATCATCTAGTTTAACAAGATTTTTTTTTTTAATTTCATCCACGTAGAAGGCCGGAATCACTGCAGCAGTGAAGGGCCTTTTTTTGTCGCGCCGTTGGAGATCGACGATAACTTAAATAATATTTAATTTTTTTTTTCAAGAATTTTACTATGTATTCTTAAGACATGTATAAATATATTCCTAAAATTTTGAAATGATTTATAAAGTAGTTTTTTTTTAATATAAATTCCCAAAAATCACCTTTTTTTTAGGCTGTTACACTTGTTGGGCCCCTTAAATATGAGAGGTTAACAATTATATGTGGAAAATATAAATAGTACCTGATTGTACTAATTTCATAAGATGATTATATCATAAAATAAAAATGAACTTATAATTTATTAAAGATTATTTGCATGGAATCATCAAAGCATATTGTGCATATTGTGATGTGGTGCTCCAAATACTTATTTGCTGGTGTCATTATTATTAACTTCCCGTAGGGTAAGTTATAGTAATCGCAAAAAAATCGAAAATGAAAATTTTTGCATTTCTCGACGTTTCAAAACCTTCTGAACATTTTGGCATACCTTAGAAAAAATGGATGTATGTGTGTGTGTGTGTGTGTGTGTGTGTGTGTATGTATGTATGTATGTATGTATGTATGTATGTATGTATGTATGTATGTATGTATGTATGTATGTACGTGTGTGTATGTATGTGCGGATACAAATTTTCGTCGACGATTTCGGGAACACGGATCAACCGATTTAAATAATTCAAAAAACATTCGATTCGTATTGATAAGGAGACGTGCTGATTAGTTTTTGGCAAAGGCAGGTCTAGCCGTTCCGAAGATACGGGGCAAAAAGTGCCAAGAACGGTACCTCCGTTTTTAAGAGAACGGAGCGTCCGATTTGAATAATTCAAAAAACATTTTACTTGTATTGACAAGATGTAGAATTGATCAAATTTTCATGGAGGCAGGTCTAGCGGTTTCGGAGATCTAATGAAAAAGTAAAAAATAATGCCATTCGGCGGGTTAAAAATTATCATTAGACATATGCACATCAAATTATCAGATATTTTATAGAGATTTTAACAATAAGTATATTTTTTTTTACATTTTTATGGGTTCCGTACCAATGCTTATGCGTTAGACGGCGGCGCGGCACATGCGCGCTTTAATTTTCGTCTTTATGCAGTTAAAGCAGTACGATTGCTTTGAAAAAAAGTTCAGAATTTCCAAAATATGTCAAAATGAAGAAACATTTTTTTCAAAAAAAAATTTTTTGTATCCAAAAAATATTGTTTTTTTCAAAAAAAAATTTTTTTTCATATAATTTTTTTTTTTCAAAAAAAGGAATTATTGTCAAATTTGTAGTTTCTCAAATCTATTTTTTTTAATTAAATTTTTTTCCAAAAATGTTAATCGTTTTTTAAAAAAATAATAATTTTTGGTAACGGGAGTTCCAGCAATTTGCCTTAAGGCACGATGCCCTAATTGCCTTAAGACAGAATTCCACTTACAGCTAGTTTTGAGTAAAAGTTGGGGCAATTACCTAATGAGTGTAAGGACGTTCCGCAAAACAAACCGAAACTAGTGACAATAAAGGGAGCGCCCGCTGACCATGCCATTGTCAACGCCTCGTTTGTCACCACTGGGGCAAATGCTCTATCTGAAGAGAAATTGATTGAACATAGATAATAAGCCCTAGGGATAGAATGTTTCAAATATATTTGCGATTAGGTGAATGTGCAAATGTAAATGATTTCTTATTAATAATTATTTATTGAATTAAATTAATTAAAAATAACTTGTTTTGAAAATTTCCTTTTCTTTAATTTCTTTTATCTATTTTTTTTTCTTCTTGATTTTGATTTTCAATACCATAACTTTTAACTTATAGATTGTATTGTAATCTGATTGTTAAAATTAGCAGAAATAAAAAAAAAATTGAATTAAGAATGGATATTTTGTGATTATGTTGTAAATCATTTACTAAAACTATAAATCACTTAATTTATTTTTACAATTTGATCTTATATATCTTTTAATTAATATATTATTATTGTTAACTTCACGTACAGTAAGTTATAACAATCGCAAAAAAATCGAAAATGAACATTTCTATATATCTTTACGTTTCAAAGGTTTCTGAATGTTTTGACATACTTTATTGTTAGAAAAAATGGATGTATGGTGTGTTCGGATACAAATTTCGACGACGATTTCGGGAATACGGATCAACCGATTCGAATAATTAAAAAAAGATTCGATTCGTGTTGATGGAGAGACGTGCTGAATAGTTTTTGTTAAAAGCAGGTCGAGCCGTTTCGAAGATGACAAAAAGTTCCAAAAATGGTAATTCAATTTTTGAGATAACGGAGAGTCTGATTTGAATGATTTAAAAAACATTGTATTTGTGCTGACGAAATGATTAAAGTTTTGGAAATGCAGGTCGAGCGGTTTTTCAGACTAGAAATAATTTTCAGAAGAAAAAAAAATAATGCCATCTTGTGGTTAAAAATGATTAATAGACATATGTACATAAAATTATCAGATATTTTATAAGATTTTAATGATAAGTACAAAATTTGTTTACATTTCTATGGGCTCGCGATACGATATTTTGTCTTTAAAACAGCCACACAGCGCAATTGCTTTGAAAAAAGCTCAACATTTTGTAGAAATTTCAAAATGTAAAAAAATCCAATTTAAGAAAAAAGTCAAATTTAAAAAAAACACAATTCTCAAATATCTAATTTTTTCAAAGTTTTTGAAAATTATAAAGCTATTTTGAAAATTTTAATTTTTGGCACTCGAAGACCTAGGAATTTGCCTCAAGGCGGGATGCCATGTATCAATAGATGTATTCATAATGTGTATATATACATGTATATATGTGTAAATTTCCTTATAAAAAATAGAAAATGTCAAACAATATATTTTCTTTGACAATAGGTATATAAAATGTAATTAAATTTAAATGACAACTGTATGTTTATTATATGGCTATATAGTTACTCATTCATTGAAATTACATAATTTGAAATATGTGATTCTATTACAATAACTTTGTAGTAATCACAGTCAGAGTAAAAATAATAGTATTTTTTTCAATTTAAGAAATTTAAAAAAAATAAGAATGACATAAGTATATTTCATAATTTGTAATTTTACTTCTTTTCACAGGCTAGTTATATTGGGGAACATCCTGCTTATTATACGAATTCTGGGACTAAGCCTGTATCGAGTGGTAAGTGATACTAAATAAATAAATATGTATCAAAATAATTTTTTCATAATTTACGTAAGTCAACATAGCATTATGACATTTTTAAGTTTCCTTAAGAGTGTTCAGTGAAGTTATTGAAATAAAACTTTTTAAAATACTAATTATGAATCAAATGTATGAACATTAAGAACAATTGAATTATTTAAAAGTTTTATAAATATTATTGATCTATTTCTTTTACTATTAACGACATAAAATCTCGATATCCCATACCAACTTTTGTCGTTAAAATGTTAAAATGAATCTGATTGGTCTTGTTTATTGACTATTGGTTTTTGGTAAAGGCAGGTATAGCAATTTAAAAGTAACGGCGCAAAAAGTTCTCCAAAATATATAATATTTTTCTTGGTTTTGTACTAATAAATCAGAATTCATAATATTCTTGGAAAATTCACGCTACAGATTACCTCTAACAATAATCTAAAACTGTGTTTTTATTGATTTTTTACATAACTTCGGTACTAATGTAAAATTGCTTTATATTGACACCATGTACACCATATTTTTTAGTTTTCCTACGAAATATTTTCTAATTTTTTTTGCAGAATTGAAAAAATCAATCTTCTAATTGTAAACGTTTGCTTACTCAACTAAATAGTTTTATTTAACAGTATTAACTGATGTTTTATAATTAGCAGAGAAAATATAGCCGGGGTACGACTTAGGCGGTGGTACGACTTGAGCAACCCCATTCTCATTTCATGAATTTTTATAACATATTTTAAAACTTGAATGAACATGCTATGATATTTAATTATTGCAGCACCAGATTCGTTATAATACTGTAGAGCACTTATTGTGCTATGAAAAACGCTTTAGGGGTTAGGTACAATTTATTGTATTGATAAGTCTTTATATATACACACCCCACACACCACCCACAGACATATATATGATATATATATATATATATATTTATATAAATAAAAATTAGCCAATTGAAATATGAAATTAATTTATTAGACTAATAATTAGATTAAAAATATTTATTTCAGTATCTGACTTATACCCGCCCCGTACATTAGGAGTACAAATCATTCGAGGAACAATGGAACAATGCACAAGGTGAGTTCGTATAAAAGATTTAATATACTAAATTATTATAAATGTTACCGATATGACTTGCTAATTTATCACAGAATTAGTTCGAAAGCTTGCGCGTAAAGCATTACTTTAATCATCACCATTTACTGCATGGTTTTAAGTAAATTATTATTCAGAAAGGGGATTTATTTA